AACATATCAAAGACCAAGATAAATTAATACTCAGTAAATTAATAACTTTTATAAATTAATAAATTGTGTTGGTCTCAATTTAGGTCGATTCAAAATTAACACAAACCGATAAAATAATAAGATAATATTTTTTAGAAAATTCTATGTAAATATGATCCCATCAAAATTATAAATTAATAATTATATATATACATATTTTATATAAGTAAGATAATATCATTATATAATTTTTTATATTCACAATGGAATTCTTTTTATATTTTATTAACACTTATTATCTTTTTTGATGAGATTTGGTAATATTATGTCTTAAACCTACATTTAGATTATATGCAATATATATTATATACAAAAAAAAAGAATATAATAAAATTGATATAAGTGTCAAATTTTTTTAAAATTAAAAATTAATAATTATACACTATTATAAAATATTTTTCTTATTTTAGAATAATTTTTTACATAAAAATCTAAATAAAGAAATTTTGTAAATTAACATCTCTATAAATTAATAAAATTTCACAATCCCAACATTATTAATTTATAGAGGTTTACTGTATGTATTTATGATTATACGTGTCGTAGAAATATGCTTAGGGGTTAAAAATGCTTAGTTATAGATGTACACTCATAAAATATTGTTTGTCGGTAAATTAACCGAATATATAGATTTACTTATGATTCTAAATTTAATGTTAAACTAGATTTTGACCCGCGCAACCGCGCGGGTGTTTGTTTTCGTTTATAGTTAGTTATATAAACATTTTGCTTTCACTTGTAAATTAGTATATATTATAGTAATCACATATTTACGATATGTATAGTAAATATTTTTCAAACATAAAAATATTATATAATATGTCTTTTAATCAAATAGATTGTTTCAAATTTTCTATATTATACATGTTTTTCAAACATGTGTTTGTTTCTTCTTCTATATTTTATTGTTTGTTAGATCAATATTTCATTTTTAGATAAAGTAATATAAATATAGCTTGATTAAATATTAGTATATTTTAATTTGCAAAGATAATATCTTTATATCAATTTTGTTTTCATTTATTTTATATACATTTTTTACTTCTAATTTGGTATATATTATATAAGGTGTGTATATCGAAAATGATGATTAATTATTATATAGTATAGATTAATTATTGTTAGAAAATGATGATTTTGTTATTTTAAAAAATAAACTATATAATTTTAAAGTTAACATCAGAAATATATAAATAATTAACTTATACTATTACAATATTAAATTATATAAGTTTAATTTAAACATGTATGTTATTATAATATCTATAAATCCAATGGATCATCTAATTTTTATTAGCCCAATAAAAATTTCTAGTAAGCCCAATAAATGTTATTAGTGAATCTAATGAATGTTATTAATGATTGAATAATGTAATGTCATAAATTCTATTAGATGGTCCATTTTAAAATATCACACATGAAGTGAAGTCATGACTTCTCTTTTAATATATAAGAATTTAAACATGTATGTTATTATAATATCTATAAATCCAATGGATCATCTAATTTTTATTAGCCCAATAAAAATTTCTAGTAAGCCCAATAAATGTTATTAGTGAATCTAATGAATGTTATTAATGATTGAATAATGTAATGTCATAAATTCTATTAGAAGGTCCGTTTTAAAATATCACACATAAAGTGAAGTCATGACTTCTCTTTTAATATATAAGATTTCCTGTAAGTTGCAAAGATAATCATGTGAGGTCCAAACGGTTCATGTAGGTCTGTGATTACATCTATAGAGTGTTTATAAGGAAAATGACGTTTATGTTATTATATATTTGTAGATAGCCGTGTACTAGTCATCGATGTGACGGGTAGAAAGAGCGAGAGAGAGAAAGGTAGAAAGAGAAAGTAGATCTGGTTCCGGCATACGGCCGCCGCGTGAGCGTGCGTACCGTCGTTGGAACCCTTTTCCTTCCGATTGAAAAGTTGTTGCTTGGCTCTCCTTCGTCTCCTCCCACCTATTGCTTTGTCTGAGCTCTGGCTTTGGTCTATCTCCATTCTCGTGGTGGTTCGGTGCATGTAGTAAAGACGCGGTCAGGGAAAGGTTTCGGCAGTGGAAATTCGTTTCATCAGAGTAGAGTTCGATTCCGGAAGGGGAAAGTTTCCTTAGCTCTATCGCCGCCGGCTTTGTCTCCGGGACGGGGAGGCTTACACAGTTCCTTTGTCGTCGGCTTTTGTCTCCGGAGGGTTGAGGCTTTTAAAGCTATGTGTTGCCGGCCTAGTACCCGAGTATGTTTGGGGTTTTTAGTTCCTGTTTTGATTCATGGTTAGGGTGAATGTAGTGCTTGAGTTCCCTGTGTTGTTTGGGTTTATCAGATGAGATCTCAGAGAATGATGAAGCTCTCCGATGATGATGACGAGGGCAAGAGAAGAAAGAAGAGTTTGAAGTTTCAGAAATGATTTAAATGTGTGTGATTTGATAGTCCGGATGAGATCTCGGTTTGTCCTATTGATGCTCTCCGATGGTGGAGATAGTTGCAGCGCCTATATTCGAGGCGGCGCTGTTCAGTTCCCGGCGAATCCGTAAGGAGAGAAAGAGAAAGAGGGTGGAGACACGGGTCTAGGGTTTTGTCCCAATTTGAGTGATTTTTGACTGGGTTTAAGACCCATTATGTAATTTGTTTCAGTTGCTTTTGGTTTGGGTCTTCGGGCTTTATAAGTATAAAACTCTTTTTATTTGTAGAGTAACCTTTAAATATATATATATATATATATATATATATATATATATATATATATATATATATATATATATTCATAATTCACCTTTTTAGCCTTCCAAAATTTATGTACGATCTCATACCCACCTAGAGTTTTGTATGTTTCGAAGAAATCTTAATATAAATGGAGTTATTTTTGGGTTCATCCAATAGGATTGTATAATTTCATATTTGATATCTTTTAAAAAGAGAAACAAAATCTTATTAAATTATATTATATTTTTAAAAATAAAATTACAAAATAAAATAAAATAATAATAAAAATTAATAAAAATTAAAATATTTTTTGTAAAAATATATATCCTAACACTAAACCCTAAATTATTATCCTAAACCTTAAGCCCTTAGGTAAATCATAAACCTTTGGATAAATTTCATAAAAAAATTATGTAAAAAAAATTATTTTAACACTAAAACACTAAATCTCAAACTCTAATCCTAAACCCTAAACCCTTGAGTAAATTATAGACATTAAACCCTAAACTATAATCCTAAACTTCATGGATAAATCATAAATTTTTGGATAAATCGTATAGTGTTTTAAAAATTTAGATTTTATGATTTACCCAAAAGTTTAGGATTTAAGATTAGAGTTTAGGGTTTAGTGTTAAAATATTTTCTTTAAAAAGAATTATTTTTGTTTTTATTAATTATTATTATTTTTAATTTATTTTATATTTATATTTTAAAAACATAATATAACTTAACAAGATTTTGTTTCTTTTTTTAAAAGATATCAAATATGAAAATAATGCAATACTATTAGATGGTGTTCCTAGGAGTGAATCAAGTATATGTCTTATAATTGTGCTGAGTTTTGGTTCAATTATTTGAACCACTGTTCTGAAAAAGACAACTACGTGTTTTTTCCCCCACATATTATCTGACTAAAAAGTCAAATAAGGGACAAACTACTTGAGAATGTTGATTTGAACATATATATGTGTTTTCTAACAATATAACTAATGATTTGCGACTTTTCAGATATTTATTATATTCTCAACGTTATTACTGAACGAACCACGTGAATGAAAACAAAAAGGGTTAGAATTAGGCCGAATTTAAAGCCATACGTACCAATAACATGTTGTCAAATATCAGATGCAAATATGGAATGATAACCAAATTTAAGCAAAAAAAAAAAAATATGGAATGATATCACTGTGACATCATTTCCCGACGAAAATACATAATTATCTGAAACAAACGTAGTCGCCGTGATATATGATGATCTGGAGAAAGCGATCAGTTTATCACTATGGGACCTCACAAGGAGACAAAGTTTTGTAACGTGTCGACTTCAGGAGCAGTGGACCACTGTCCTGTCGGCGTCGCCTTTCCAAGACATACGCTAATAACGCCAAAACACTACTTTTTCGGGCTTCACAATATCGTTTCTACCCTTGAAATTTCCCTTTATATACTGGTTTATGCCATCAGTTTTTTGACTAAAAACTGGCCAGAGTTACTTTCACACGGTGCTGTCACCTGATCTGGATAAGATTCTCAATGTTCTTGGATTGACCATATTCCACATGCATCCGTTACTTCTATTCCACAAGTTGTAAATGCTGTTTGGCTTCTACTGTTCATTCGAAAGCAACTAATAAAATGTTGATGTTTACGTGTGAGAAACATATATATTATGTGCACGTAATATATTTGCATAGTTGCTACTAACTTTTTTTTTCTTTCTTACTTTGACAAAACAAGCATAAAAACTTCTCAATTTGTTCAGTTTTTTTATTTTTAATTTGGTCAGTACTTATTATCCACCAATCAAACTTCATATCACAAATTCGACTCTCAACAAACGGAAATGGAGTGTAACTATAGATATTTAATTCATATATACATATGGATTGCAAATATGCTAAACTTTTTCATATAAATGAAATCTCTTAATTTAAAATGTAAACTCTCAATACAAAAATTTATTGGTAAGAACTCTAGAATAGTTATAAAATTTATAGATTCTTTTGTTATTATGAATTTTAAAATCTTAGTAAAATCTATTACTATTGAGATGAGAACTTTCAATTTCTGTTCTTTTTTTTTTTATCAAACAATACTTGCATTAATATTAAAAGTGTTTACACTCAAATGAAAGAGGATACAAGAAGGCTATTGACAGCCAAACAAACAACAACAAGAACATAAAAGATAGGATGGTGATGCTAATCACAAAAAGAAACCATATGACATTGTATTACAACAATGTCATAAGCTACTTCAAAGATTGCATCTAGTGTAACCCGTAGGACCACACACTGCACCATACGCAGAGAAGAGCATTTGATGGGAGGAAGATCCTTGCAATACCAACGAAACTTGTTCATCCAATTCACTCCATATAGGGTAAAATATTAGGAAAGAAGACTGATTCAAACGAGTGACAAACGGGAAATCATAACCCGCCACTTCCATACTCATCGGGCTAAAGATGAAGATAGATTTCTCTTCTACCTGCCACCAAGAAGAGAGATACACAAACATAATACCAACACCCAGAATAGAACTCGTAAGAGAACTGCATACTGCAGCTGATCGCACCAAGGCGATAAAAGCACTACTAGAGGTCACAAAAGTAGAACCAAATGAAACTAAAACCATCAATATATCACCGGCTAAAGTCATGAACCTCAAATCCAACGGCATCCACAAAAATAGCTGTCTAAACCATTCTACAGTAGCAGAATAAATGGACAAGAAAGGGCTAAGATGTACATGACGAACCATACGAGGAGGAGAGATAGAAAGGTCGAAATAAGAACTGAATAAAGGCCATCCAGCACATTCAAATAGATACATGTATATCACAGGAGATAAAAGCTCGTAGGCGAAGAAAGAGTCATTTACGGACACAGGAGCACCACCACCACCTACACTCTTTGTCGATATCCTATATGGAGGCTTTAGAGATGAAATCTGGAAAAAAGCTTGAGGAGATGGTCTGGAGGTGTAGAAGAACCGCGGAGAAGCGATGAGAGATACAGTAACATCTGGAGGGTCTGGAGGGTCTGGAGGTTCCGGAGGGAAAATCAGAGAAGGATCTTTAAGAGGAGGGCCAGGTGGTTCTGGTGGAGAGGGAGCTTTAACCGGCGGATCTGGCGGAGACGAATTTGGCAGAGAGAAGGTTTCAAGCAACGGTTCTATCTGTTCCACTGACACAGATCTGAAGGTTCTCGCTTAAAGGGTAGAACAGGAGGACTCTTCGTCACAGAAACGAAAGCGGGCTCTGGGCCATTGAAACGACAAGATCTCACCGGAGGCAACGAGCTAGGCGTGGGAGAGGCAGAGGAAAGTGAAAGGCTCGACCTTTGAGCTTTCAAAAGTTCTTCACCTCTTCGGGAAACGCGTCGAGTCATCCTAGGTGGAGTCCCGACGAGGAGAAGCATAGCTTCTTAAAATGAGTTTTGGACGGAGGCGATGGCGGAGAAGACCTTGCAGCGTGGATCCATGGAGATCGGATGGAGACGGCGGCGTCTTGGGTGGTGTGCCAGAGAGAAAAGCCTCTGGGGGAACTTCTTTTCTTGTTCGTTTTTAACTTTCAATTTCTATTAAATTCCTTTATTGTTGGAAAATGTGTACATACCAATGATTTAACAGCTCTTTTAAACTCTATTGTTATTAGGATGTAATTGTTCTTTTTTTTTATTCATAAGATTCAACTTTGAAAATATCATGTATACACACTAGATTTTAAAATCTATGAAAAAAAACAAACACATATAAACACACAACAAAAAACTACAAAGCTATATAAAAACTGATAGAACATAAAATATTAATCCACCCACGAATAGCATATATTTTGTTAAAAGTTAAAGGCTACAAAACTATATGAGAAGTATTAACAAAAAAATAGCATCACTAACATGTGTTCTATTGGCACCCGAAAAACAAAAAGGTACGTGGAAGTCTTAAAAACTCATATATCTTGGATTTCATACGAGAACTTCAGGGACAAAATAATTGAAAATTTCAGCAACAAAATAATTAAAGTTTCAATGCAACACTAATAGCATATATTTTAAAAAGATTAGACCAGTGACACTGAAAGCTATTGGCGATAAATGACCTAGGATTTTCAGCATGAACTCGGCGCTGCCGCGGAATCATCGGAGACGGTCCAGCTCTGGATGAGCAGGATGGCTCATTGCAAAGGAAGGGTGATTCGGAAGGGGAGTTACAAGAACAGAAGAAACTAGCTCCAAATTGTGCATCGTGGGTTGATATAGCTCAAGAGAAAATATTTTTGAGGAAATACAATCTCAACATCATGAATCAGAAAGGTCAGCTCAACGTGGAGATCCCAGACAAAATAGTTGTCAACGCGAATAAACACTGAGAGGATTTTCTGATAGGAAAGTTTTTGGATACATCACCTTACATCTCTAGGATCCATGTCGTGGTAAACAAAATCTGGCGAGAAGGAGGAACGGGGCAACAAGTATAAGTCTTCGAAGTTGATTCTACTACAATAAAGTTCCGAGTCTCATATTCGTCTATGAGAACTCGAATCCTAAGAAGAGGGATGTGTAGCATTGGTAACATACCATTAGTGGTAACAAAGTGGACTCCAAAAAAAACTCAAGGAGAAGCCAGAGATCAAATTGATTCCGATGTGGGTATACCTAAAAACGTTCCGATGAACATGTTCTTATTGGAAGGCCTGAGCTTCATCACAAGCGCAGTTGGATATCCGGTGAAGCTTCTTCCTGAAACTTCATCATGTTCTAACTTCAAACTTGCGAAAATCTTTTGTTAGTGCAGATTTATCTAAGGAGCTACCAAAGGAAATCAACTTCACAAAGAATAGGAAGTCTACCACGGTTTAGTTGATCTATCCTATATTACCAGTCCGCTGCCACACTTATAGAAAACGGAGTCATGGGAAGAAGGTATATGTCATGAACAAGAAAGAAGGTGAATCCAAATCAGTGACTGAAATAATAGAGAAAGGGAGCTCAGGGAAGAAGGCTATAGAGAAACTAGTAACAAAGGATGGAGATGATGAAGACAAAGAAAGTGAAAAAAAAAACAAAATAGCAACAGTTGCAGATGAAGTATTATAAGAAATTAAAGAGGGTGAACTGGTGAAAGGTTGGTCTGATGCAACTCTTGGGAAAGCTAGTAAGCTTTAGAATATGGCCCGGAGAAAATTGCATCGCAGTACACAGCTGTGGCTCAAGCAGATGATAATGGTGACTTGTTTGATCCGGAAGAAGAAGTAAAAATGAACAAGTAGTGGAAGAAGTAGAGGTACTGGGGGGAGGACATCCCATAACTCCTGCAAATAATGATGATCATGTAGAGAAGAAAAGTAGTTCTAGCGCAGAGAAAACGAAGAAGGATGAGTATGTTGGAGGGAAAAACTTGCAGCTTTCTCTCCCAAGGATCTCTAAATCAAATCACATGGTAATTCCCGAAGGCACTGGAAAGGAGGTAGAAAACCCTGACACACTGGGAAAAAGTCCCGAAAAACTTCTCAATGACAGGTTTCTTCTGTAAATATAAGAGGTTTCAACAAATTTTCAAACCACGCAGTCGCTCAAAATTGGATACAGAATTAGGGGCTTCAGTTTGGAGCTTTATTAGAGTTAGAGTTAAGTAAAGCAAGTTGGAGTGGATTGTTTCCTTAGTCTTCCCGGATTGGTCTTGTGTAAATAATTGTGAGTATAGCAGAAAAGGCAAAATATGGGTTGTTTGGAGCCCTCAAATAAGGGTAACGCCAGTTTACAAATTGGATTAGATCATCACAATTTCAGTTCTTATGGAGGGTGAAATAGAGGAATTCTTTTTTTTTTTTTTTTGTCTACGCAGAGAACACATCAGAGAGGAAAAAAGAACTTTTGGAGGATACTAAAACCCACCAGAACTCCCTTATGTTCAGAAACAAAGAATGGATCATTATGGGTAGTTTCAACGAAATCCTTGAAGGAGATGAACCCTCAAGCCATCAAGTTGCAGGTTTAACTATGCCTGGAATGAGGAATTTTGAATCATTCAGTAATGCAATCTTACTAATATGGGGTATCAGGGGCTACAGCTTAGGTGGTGCAATAAACGAGATGAGGAAATTATATGTAAGAAACTAGATCGAATCCTGGTTGTAGATCCTAAAATACACACTAAGTATTTTGTAGTGATCAAGAGTTTAATTAGGGGAAGACAAATGATGTGGAAAACAATGCTCTTAAACACAACGATACAATCGGAATTCGGTTGAAAAAAATGGACTTTATTGAATATGAGATTCGATACAAAGTGATAAACAAGATCAAGAACAACAATGAAAGATGAAAACTATATGCGAATTAGAAGTTTATAATGTGAGGTCGATGTGAATAGTAGTCTGCTCTAGGGTTTTTCCGTGTGTCTTGTACTCCGTTATAGCTCCCTTTTATAGCCCTCTTTTCTTTTAACTGCCTCCGCGATCTTCGGGGTCTCACCCCGACCTCATCGTACTCGTTGACCACTACACGATGACAAGACATGGGTCTGGGCCTTCTTGCGGCCATCGGATCCAGCCCTCGTTCTCGTCTTATTCCATGAACTCTTTGTGGGTTTGCTTGCTCGGCGCCTATCTTTAGCATTTAACATATCTCGTGTTATCAAAACTAATGGGCCCGATTTTGGGCCCAACACTGGTCAATGAAACTTGGTTAAATCAGCGCACTCAATCATATGGTGTTTTGAAGCTGAGGGTTATTCAGATCATCTTAGAGGAAGATTCCACCCAACAGTTGAGGCAGTGGGTAAGAGGAAGCCTTTCAAGTTTTTAAACGCTCTTGCAGATATGCAAGAATTTTTTAAAGCTGTAAAAGACTTTTGGAAATATACTCAACCACTATTTTTATCAATCTCGGCGCTATATAGATTCTCAAAATCCCTAAAAGCTCAACCTAAGATTTGAACCTTGAGTAAAGCTAGGTTGGGAGAGCTAACAAAAAAGGTTAAGGAAGCCTACCTGGACCTTTGTGATAAACAAGAGAGATTGCTGAGAGACCCATCTCAAGAGAACATTTGAGCAAAGATGGTGGCAAACAAGAGATGGCAGAGAATTTCAGAAATTGAAGAGAAGCTTCTGAAGAAGCAATCAAAGCTTCACTAGTTACAAGTTGGAGATCACAACAATAAGGCATTCCACAACGCTGTAAAGGTAAAATAAATAAGAAATGGCATCAGGGAATTAAATTTCCTTCTAGAACAGTGGTTACATCACAGGATGATATAAGAAATGAGGTTATGAGTTCTTCAAAGAGTTCCCCACTTTCGAAAAGTCTGATATCTAGAACAAAACAGTTGCAGGGCTGCACGAGATTCTTCCTTTCAATCCATGAGGAGAGGTCATCACTTATAAAGCCAGTAACAGAAGAGGAAATTCGTGAAGTTGTTTTTCATATGCTAAGCAATAAATCCCCAGGCCCTGAAAGATTCAAAACAAAATTCTTTAAAGCATCTTGGAGCGTCATTGCAAAAGACTTCACTGTTGCGGTTCAATCTTTCTTCAGTAAATGATTTTTTTTCCAAAAGGTCCGAACTCAACAATTCTGGAAATCATACCTAAAAAAGCTGTAGTAGAGATGAAAGAGTGTTGACAAATCTCTTGCCGCAATATTCTGTAAAAGGTGATCTCCAAGATCATAGCGAATCGACTTAAAGGTACTCTTCCTCAATGTATCTCTCATAATCAGTCAGCTTTTGTGAAGGATTGGCTGCTTGTGGAGAATCTATTATTGGCAACCAAGATAGTGTAGGATTATTACAAAGAATATATATATCTCCTATATGTGCAATGAAGATTGACATTGCAAAAGCTTTCGAGTCTGTCCATTGGAATTCCTCTTGAACACGCTGCGAGCTTTAAAGATACCGGGGGAATTTATTCATTGGATCGAGTTGAGTGTTTGCACATCATCTTTTCTAGTGCAAATCAATGAAGAGTTGATTGGGTTCTTTTAGAGCAAGAGAGGCTTAAGACAAGGGTGTACCTGATCTCCTTATTTATTTATCATATGCATGAATGTTCTATCTCATATGATAGATAAAGAAGCGTAAAGGAAGTTAATTGGCTATCACCCTCATTGTCATAACATACTTCTAACGCATTTGTGATTGGCCGATGATCTCATGGTGTTTACTGATGGATCAAAGCGCTCTATTGAAGGTGTTCTTAACGTCTTTGCCAAGCTCGCAGCGATATCAGAGTTAAAGATCAGTCTTGAGGAATCAACTCTGAGGAATCAACTTTGTATATAACTGGTACCACATCAAGTGAAGAAGTGGACATTCTTAGCACTTTACCATTCGCCTCAGAGAAGAAGACACATAAAGTTTATTCACAAAATCGTTTCTATATCTCTGAAAATTCGTCTATATTTCGAATCTATAA